ATACAGGTACCTTATGTTTATTGCAGCATTATTTACAACAGCCAGACTATGGAAGCAGCCTAAGTGTCCACTGATTGTTAAAAAAAAAAAATATGTGGTACACAATGGAATATTACTTAGTCATAAAAAAGAATGAAATGTTGCCACTTGCAATGATATGGATGGATCTAGAGAGTATAGTGCTAAGTGGAATAAGTCAATCAGAGGGGCGCCTGGGTGGCTCCACTGATTGAACATCTCACTCTTGATTTCGGCTTAGGTTGGGATCTTGAGGTGGTGAGATCAGGCCCTGCATCCTCTCCATGCTTGGCACAGAGTTTGCTTGGTAATCTCTCCCTCGCCTTCTGCCCCTCCCCACTCACTCTCTCAAATAAATAAATTAATAAATATCCTTTTTAAAAAGTCAGTCAGAGAAAGACAAATACTATAGGATTTCACTCATATGTGGAATTTAACAAAACAAAGAAAAAAATAGACAAACCAGAAACAGACTCCTAACTATAAAGAACAAAGTGAGGTTTCCCTGAAGATCAGAAAGAAGACAGAATGTCCACTTTTGTCACTTGTATTCAACATAGCACTGGGAGTTGTAACCAGAGGAATTAGGCTAGAAAAAGAAATAAAAGGCATCCAAATCAGAATAGAATAAATCATCTCTGTTTACAGATGACAAGATCTCACACATCTGACCCTGAACAACACAGGTTTGAACTGCATGGGTCCACTTACATGGAGATTTTTTTTCAAATAAATACAGTACAGTACTGTAAATGTATGTTCTCTTCCTTATGAATTTAACATTTTCATTTCTCTAGCTTACCTTATTGTAAGACTACAACATATAATACAAAACAACATGCAAAATATGTGTTAATTGGCTGTTTATGTTATTGGTATGGCTTCTGGTCAACAGTATTCATAGTTAAGTTTTTGGGGACTCAAAAGTTGTATGTAGACTTGTTTTAATTCCAGTTTCATTAACATAGTGTTCTATTGGTTTCAGGTGTACAACAGAGTGACTCAACAATTTTGTACACCACCCAGTGCTCATCACAAGGGCACTCCTTAATCCCTATCACCTGTTTCACCCACTACCCCACCCACCTCCCCTCTGGTAACCATCAGTTTGTTCTCTATAGTTACGAGCCTGTTTTGTTTTTTCGTTTGTTTTGTTTCTTAAATTCTACATATAAGTGAAATCGTATGGTATTTGTCTTTTTCTAATTTCACTTAGCATTTTATTCTCTAGTTCCATCCATTTGTTGGAAGTGGGAAGACTTCATTCTTTTTTTTTTTTTTTAATTTGACAGACAGATCACAAGTAGGCAGAGAGGCAAGCAGAGAGAGACAGGAGGAGGAGGCAGGCTCCCCGCCGAGCAGAGAGCCCGATGCGGGACTCGATCCCAGGACCCTGAGATCACGACCCGAGTCGAAGGCAGAGGCCTTAACCACTGAGCCACCCAGGCGCCCAGATTTCATTCTTTTTATGGCTAAGTAATATCCCACTGTGGGTGTACACACACACACACACACACACACACACACACACACATACATATCATACATATCATATCATACATCACTTTTTTTTTTTTTAAGATTTTATTTGACAGAGATCACAAATAGGCAGAGAGGCAGGCAGAGAGAGAGAGGGAAGCAGGCTCCCTGTTAAGCAGAAAGCGTGATGCAGGGCTCGATCCCAGGACCCTGGGATCATAACCTCAGCCAAAGGCAGAGGCTTTAACCCACTGAGCCACCCAGGTGCCCCTACATATCACTTCTTTATCCGTTCATCTATCAATGGACACTTAGGCTGCTTCCATAGTTTGGCTCTTGTAAATAATGCTGCTATAAACACAGGGGTACCTGTGTCCCTTTGAATTAGTGTTTTTGTATTCTTTGGGTAACTAGCCAGTAGTGTGATTACTGGATCATAGGGTAGTTCTGTTTTTAACTTTCTGAGGAAAACTCCATACTGTCTTCCACAGTAGCTGCACCAGTTTGCATTCGCACCAACAATGCACAAGGGTTCCTTTTTCTCCACATCCTTGCCAACATTTGTTTCTTATATGCAGATTTTTGACTGCAGAGGAGTCAATGTCCCTAAACCTTGTATTGTTCAATACAATACAATAATGTTAACATTATTTAATGTAAAATAATGTTTAACAATAATGTTAAAACCCTAAATATTCCACAAAAAAATTGTTAGAGCTAATAAAACAAATTTAGCAAAGTTGCAGGATACAAAATCAACAAAAAAATCAGTTGCATTTCACACACTAGCACTGAACAATCCAAAAAGGAAATTAAGAAAAAGATTCCACTTAAAACAGCACCAAAAGGAGTAAAATACTTAGGACTAAACCTAATTACCAATGACGTGAAAGACTTGTATGCTGAAAACTACGACACCACTGAAAGAAACTGAAGATATAAATAAATGTCATGTGTTATGGTCTGAATGTTTATCTACCTCAAAACTCATACATGGAAATCTTAATCCCCCAAAGATGGTATCCCTAGGTGGGGTTTGGGAAGGTCCTTAAATCATGAGGGTGGAGTCCTCATAAATGGTATTAGTGACTTAAGAGAGGCTCCAGAGATCTCTTGCCCATTCTGCCATGTGAGTATACCACAAGAAGTCTGTGACCCAAAGGAGGTCTCATGACTATGCTGGCACCCTAATTTCATTGGATTTCTGGGCTCCAGAAGTGTAAGCAATAAATACCTGCTGTTTATGAGCTACCCGGTCTGTGGTATTTTCTTAGAGCAGCCCGAAAAGACTGAGACAGAAAAACTGGAACCAAGAAGTGGGACCGCTCCTAAAACAAATACCTAAAAATGTGGAAGAGGCTTTGGAACTGGGTAATGGGCTGAGGTTGGAAGAGTTTGGAGGTGCATGCCAGAAACAGCCTACATTGATTGCGGTGAATGGATTGTTAAGGATAATTCTCCTGATGGCTCAGGAGAAGATAAGAGCTGTAGAGAAAAGTGTCAATCTTGGAGAATACTTGCAGTTGTGACCAAAGTAGTGGTAGAAATATGGAGGGGAAAGGTCATTCTGATGAGGTCTCTGACAGAGAAAAGGCTATCCTTAATATAAGGTGCCCAAGAACTTGGCTGAAATTGTGTTCATGTCCTAGTTTTTTGTAAGGTAGAACTTGTGAATGATGAATTGATATTTGGCTGAAGGAATTTCTAAGCAAAACGTTGAAGGGGTAGCTTGACTTCTCTTGAATGCTTACAGTAAAATGAAAGAGAAAAATGATTTAAAGGTGGGATTTTTTTTAACTGCAGAATAATTGACATACACTATTATGTTTCAGATGTACAACATAGTGATTCAACAGTCATATGCATTACAAAATGCTCACCAATGTGGTTACCATCTATCATGGTAGATGTTGTTGCAATATTATTGACTATAATTTCCTACCTTATACTTTTCATCCCTGTGAATTATTTTATAACTTAGAGCTTGTATTTCTTTTTTTTTTCTTTTAACATATTTTGTTTTTATTAACATATAATGTATTATTTGCCCCAGGGTTGCAGGTCTGTGAATCATCAGGCTTACACACTTCACAGCACTCAACCATAGTACATACCCTCCCCAATGTCCATAACCCAATTAGTTTGTATTTCTTAATCCCATTCAACTATTTTGCCTATCCCCCCTCTAACAAGTTTGCTCTGCATTTCTATCTACTTCTGTTTTTTATTTGAAGTGTAATTGACATATAGTAATAGTTTCAGAGTATACTTATCATGATGAACACGAAGTAATGATTCAACAATTCCTAAAGGTGGAATTCTTAATCAAAAGGGAGGCAGAAGGGGCACCTGGGAGGCTCAGTGGGTTAAAGCCTCTGCCTTCGGCTCGGGTCATGATCCCAGCGTCCTGGGATCGGGCCCTGCATCGAGCTCTCTGCTCTGCGGAGAGCCTGCTTCCTCCTCTCTCTGCCTGCCTCCCTGCCTGCTTGTGATCTCTCTCTCTCTGTCAAATATATAAATAAAATCTTTTAAAAAAAAGGGGGGGGGATGCAGAAATTCAAAATTCAGAAAATTCTCAGCCTATCAGTATTGAAAGAATAAGAAAACTAATTTCTGGAGAGAACACGAAGGATGTGGCCAGATTTGATTAAGATTAGTATGAGACTGCCATCTCACAGAATCTAAGAAATATTCATCAAGACCTGGGGAAACTGGCTGGCCAGTACCTATTCTGTGGACATCTGTACCAATAGTCTGGCCTGTGGCCTCCCTTTCTGTAAGGGAAACAGCTATCATTTGTGCCAAGGCAAGAGTTGGCCCTTTTTCTATAAAGGGCCAGACAGTAAATATTTTTGGCTTTTGGGGCAGTAAGTTCTGTCACAACTACTGAACTCCACCTTTGTATTGAGTTCCAATAAAACTTAATTTAAAACACGTAAAAGGTTGGATTTTGTGGGAGGGCAATAGTTTGCTGCTATCCCTGTCCCTATGCCAAGGTGGGTTAGGAGGAGGCAAAAGCAGAACGTAAACCAGGTTTCTTAATATATTATATTATTGCCTCCACCAGTGGCCCTGTCTTTCAAGTTGTAGCCACTCTCTTACTCTCAATAGCTGAAACCCCATGGGTTTCTTCTTATTGTTGTTTTGTTATTTTTCTGGATTTCAAGTTCCCTTTACAGTTCTAAGGAGGAAGTAGGAAACTCATGCTAATTTACTACCTTGGCAGGAATAGAAAACCAAGTCAATAATTGTTTTTGTTTGTGTTTTATTTATATATTTTTGGCAGCAAAATTGTTTATTAAAAAAAAATCTGGACTATGAACACACTTCACTGCTTCAGTTGAAGAACCCCTAGCCAAATAAAAGGACCAATATTAAAAAGCAGCATAACTGGTTACTGTTTTAAAGATACATAAAAAGAGTCATACACTACAGTGTAGGAAGACAATCACTCCCATGTCAGAAATCACAACTTCTTCCAAATAAAGAATATGACCCATCTGCCATATTGAATTGATATTTATTTCAGGACATGCCATGTCAAAATAAAACAGAAGAGTCAACCCTTGCCTTTAACAATAATATTGTATTATATAAAAGCACTTTACAACTCCATCCCATCTTTTAGTATAAGTTACTGGTATGTGGGCTAATGATTATCTGAAAGCATTTCTCTATTCAGACCCATAATCCAAGTGCTCTCTGAATATTATAAGGTGACAATAAGTGGGAATTGGAGAAGGAAGAGGAAAGAGAGGGGAATAAGATTCTCCCAGTTAAGGGTTTTGTTGCAATGAGGGGATGAAGAAGTATGAATTTTGTTGTCTTTTCATCCTTATACTGTGTTAAGTAATGCTTACAACGTAAATTCAGCAGGCTTTTCCTGAGCTGTAACTCAGAAATATTCTTCCTGCAAACAATGTATTTACAAATGTGTTTATTAACTTACACAGCAATCTCACAATAACTAGTAAAGATTAAAATGGTGCACTCCTAGTATATTTCTTTACAGTGTTTTAAGGGAAATATATATTGCCATGGTAATGAAGCTCTAAACAGACTGGACAAAACATCTAAAAATTGAAAGTAGTTAAAAAAAAAAAAAGGCAAAGAAATAAATATCACCAAAGAAAAAAGATTAACTGTAGCTTAAATATAAAACTAAATCACTGGTTAATTAACCAAACTACACAGACCTAATAAAAAGCAAAATCAGCCTGAAAGACCCAACATTAAAAAAAAAAAGTTAAAAAATAAGGCATAAATCTGCATAATATTGAGTTTTATTTCCATTCTCTCCTTTCCCTCTTCTATGTATGCTTATCCAGATCTGCCTCTAGGGGCTTATAAGAAAACTGTTTCTATTTTCAATCTGACCTCAAATGTCCTGAGCAAAGTATAGTATTTATTATTTTGTTGAGGATTCTTTTGTTGGTAAACTTTAGATATCATTGCTTTTACTGGTTATTATAGTTCTGATCAAGGTGCCAAGTTTAAATTCTTCCACTGGTTCTTCTTAAAGGAATTTGATTCCTATAGCGCCTTGACTGCATAGCATTTTTTGGAAAAAAAAAAAAAGAAAGAAAGAAAGAAAGAAAACCCCAGAGAAATCTATTGCTTACAAAAGTTTTCTTTTCTTCTCCCCCCCTTTTTAAACAAAGAGAATAACTTTATCTTGACAATTTTTAAAATCCTGGGAGAAATAGTTCACTGGAAGAATTCAGTATTAAAAACATGTTCTGAAGTAGTGTTACCCTTCTCTCCCAGAGACTAACATGTGAAAGGGTCATCTGTTTTGGTCTGAAACACATTTTATGTTCACTTGACTTGTTAAGTACTCAGTGTATTCATTAGGACTCATTTTGAAGATGCAACAGAACCCGTCTTATCCAAGCACTGCCTACTCATGATAGCTGAGTTTTGACCTCAAATAAAGTCTAAGTAATTTATATCACTGCTCAATAATATTTTTGGACATCTTGGTCCAAGCCTAGAACAAGTGGTATCGCTAAATTTGAAGGATCCAATGGGCTTGGTCTGATTGCTGCTTTGTCATACCTCATTTGTTTTGATAGAGAGTAAGAACAGGGAATATAGTAAGGGAGAGGTGAGAAAAGCAGAAAGAGATCAAGTTGGTAGGCAAGTGCTACTATGAACAACTGCTCCTTAACCAAACCACATACTGTTGAAATTTCCATCATTTTGAAGTACATTATCATTAACATTGAAAAGGAAAAAAAAAGTTGAGAAAATGTATCTAATTTTTAAAGTTATCACTGGAATATGTTGTAATCATTTGGCTTTTTGTAAAATATAAATAATGAAGACACTGAACTTTTTTGTGCTTGTGAAGCTAATAGATCATCTCCACGAGACAGGCAGCAATGATGAATTGCAATACGTTATTACTGAAGGGAAAAGGTTCAAGCCAATATTCACACTGCAGTCAATGAAAGAGTAAGGGGGCCAAAGCAGTGAGCTTCTGGAGAAAAGTTAAAGATGCCACGGGGGATTAGCAGGAGCAGCCTCCTTCACTGACTGGTTGCTCCTGAGGCTTTTCCAGTTTTATGTCAATCACTGAAACAAAAGTTAAGGAGCTATAAATGGGAAAGTACAATTCTAACTCGGCTGAACACTGACAACTCTTGCAAGCCCCTTCCATTCCTATTGGCTATAGAGTAGATACAGCCATTATTTCCTATATAGCTAGTTCACTGTATGAGGTGCTCAAATGAAATAAACTTGCCTGTATCTACTAGATGCAACAGGGTCAGAATAAGGTTAAGCCCTATTCACGGGAATCTGTTCTAAGGAACTTACAGGAGCAAGAAACCATGTAAAAGATGATGCTCCTCATGGGATTATCTATAATGAAAATCTGAAAACAGCCTATAAAAGAATTCTAGCAAAGGAAGAGAATTTAATAAATGATGGGACTTCAACTCTGTAGAACATATTATCCTATTAAAAGTAATTAAGGCAGGGCGCCTGGGTGGCTCAGTGGGTTAAAGCCTCTGCTTTCAGCTCAGGTCATGGTCCCAGGGTCCTGGGATCGAGCCCCGCATCGGGCTCTCTGCTCAGCGGGGAGCCTGCTTCCCCCTCTCTCTACTTGTGATCTCTGTCAAATAAATAAATAAGATCTTAAAAAAAAAAAAAAGTAATAAAGGCTTAGAAAACAGAAACATTTAGCAGTGGGGAAAGCTGAACACAAAATGCTATGACTTCTATGGCTTAATAAAAATGCATATGGAGGGACACCTGGGTGGCTCAGTTGGTTAAGCTGCTGCCTTCAGCTCAGGTCATAATCCCAAAGTCCTGGGATCGAGTCCCACATTGGACTCCTTGCTCAGTGGGAAGCCTGTTTCTCTCTCTGCCTCTGCCTGCTTGTGCTCCCTCTCTCTCTCTCTCTCTGAAGAGTAAATAAATAAAATCTTTTAAAAAATGCATATGGAAAAACACTAAAGGTAAATATAAAACAATTAAAATATTAAAATTAAAAATCCTTTAAAATAACTATTATTAGATGTACTTCACTATGAAAACAGAGGCCACGATAAACCAGACTGAGTTATTTCCTGCCTATGCCAAGCAGAAAGCTTGAATGTTAGAAAAAGCAAGGGAGGAAAATAAAATATATATTGTAGGGAAAAAGCCCAGAGCCAGCAGGACTCAAAATTAAAGGCAGAGGGCTAGGATTCTAAGTTTCCTGTTCATTAAAAATCAAGCACATAAACAAACACACACTTTCTCATTGATTAACTGTAGTGAACAGCAGGCTGCAAAGGGTACACCTGAATCACCAGATCTTTTTGCCACAGAAAACCCTGGAGCTTCTACGCTCCTAAGCCATTAATTCCCGGCTGTAAAAGGCAATAGCATAATATTCCTTAGCTAACCAAATGGAGCTCTAAAGACTAGTTTATAATAAAATTATCTGACGAAACAAAAAGGATACTGTCTTCTCTGCTTCTATCCTGTGTGCTTTCCATTCCAGGCAAAGCCGCTGCAACACGTCGGAAGAGCTGTGGAAAAAAGAAATGTGGTAATTGGAAGGGGAAATTTAGCAAATGGTATCAAGTGAAAGTGGATGACCACTGGGATGGGTAAGTTAAAAGAGCTTCTGGGTTATTTCTCACTTAGACCTTAGCATAATGAAAGCATGTAAAAATGTCTATTTATTTTGTAAGTAAGTACTATAGGTTGTATGCCATATACAGAAAGGTATAAAGATATGATCCTTATTTTCCAACTGGTGAGATCAGACATGAACAAACAGCTAAGAAACAGCAAAAATGTCATTTGAGTCATAAAAACATACTCTTAACAACTCAAAGTAAAGACAGAAGATTGCTCATTTAGGAAAACTGTAAGTGGCATTCCTATCTTTTATAAACAGTTTCTAAAGTCAGTGAGTATACAGTGAAAGTCAGTCTAGTCAAAATTACCGTGAATAGGGAAAGCATTATGTTGGAGACCAACACACCATCTCTCAAATCCAACACAGATGGCTTTTCCTCCATCAACAGAAAAAGTACCAGTGGAAGTGATGGGCTTGTTTCTGAGGTATGATTTATGAAAAATATCTTCAAAAGGAGAATCACACTCAAGCCTGACAACACGGTCACTTTGAGAGGCATGTGGCAACAGAAACTGAAGGAACAAGACTCATACCCCCTATTATGTGTCCAATACTAGGTATATACTCACTGGGTAGAATGGCAGGTGAAACTGGCTGATTATTTCAATCATTTCTCTTTTTGGCATGCAGTATAAAATTCCTGAAAGTTAAATGCACGTGTGATGTAACTCCCTTGTACTAAATACCTGCTTGTTTGAGTCATTGTCTCAGGTTCTCTAGGGACAGAGAATTGAATAAAATGTAGCTTTATAATTCAAGGGAGCTCACAGTCTGGTAAGAGAGACAGATGCAAACAATTTGTTACGTTACAGTGTGGCAAGTGCCAGAAACCAAGGAAATACAAAATGATATAAGAACACAGATATAAGAAGGCCCTTCTTAGGACACTGGAAAATATTCTTTAGGTGGTGACATTTCAGCTGGGATTTAAAGGCAGTTTAAAAATTTCACTTGGCGGGCACCTAGGTGGGTCAGTTGTTAAGCGTCGGCCTTTGGCTCAGGTTTCAATTCCAGGGTCCTGGGACTGAGCCCCATATCAGGCTCCCGGCTCAATGGAGTGCCTGCTTCTCCCTCTCCCTGCTTGTGTGTTCTCTCTCTCTCTGTCAAATAAATAAATAAAATCTCTAAAAACAAAATTTCACGTGGCTGAAAAACATACTATGCAAAAAGTTCTTGGAACTTGAGTGCTTCATATATGTTGCTGAGTTAAAAATGAGAAGGAATAGAAACAATAGAGGATCAGAGATGAAAGACTAGAACTCTACATAATCTGTTCAGGGAAAGGAATATAGAACAGGAGCAAATGTTTATCTGTAGGAATTGCCTGGTGGGGCAGGATTACGGAAGATTTGAGAAAAAGTGTAACTGTTTTGGTTCTATAAGGTTTAGTGGCATTTTAGAGGTGTGTCAAAGTTAGTCACTAGCCTCAATATTCTTTTCCCTGTTCTTGAAACTACTAAAATCAGAAATGTGTTGACTATACATTATGGTTAGATGGCTAAGTGTTAAAATTACTGAGGCCAAGGGGCGCCTGGGTGGCTCAGTGGGTTAAAGCCTTTGCCTTCGGCTCAGATCATGATCTCAGGGTCCTGGGATTGAGCCCCGCATCAGGCTCTCTGCTCGGCAGAGAGTCTGCTTCCCTTCCTCGCTCTCTGCCTGCCTCTCTGCCTACTTGTGATCTCTATCAAATAAATAAATAAAATCTTTAAAAAAAAATTACTGAGGGGGCGCCTGGGTGGCTCAGTGGGTTAAAGCCTCTGCCTTAGGCTCAGGTCATGATCCCGGAGTCCTGGGATTGAGCCCCGCATCGGGCTCTCTGCTCAGCGGGGAGCCTGCTTCCTCCTTCTCTCTCTCTGCCTGCCTCTCTGCCTAATTGTGATCTCTGTCTGTCAAATAAATAAAATCTTTAAAAAAAAAAAAATTACTGAGGCCAAGACTAAGTATCACTATTATAGAGTCAATTTCTGGGATGCACAGTGCCCTTGTATCCCATCCCAAATGTATGCCACATTTGTCACTGCTAGACAATCAAATGCCCAAAGCGCGGTCAGAGAAAAGCACAAGGTATATTCAAGAATGTTTAGGTAGTCCAGACTGGCTAGAGCACAGAATATGTAACAGGATTATAAAGAAGCTCTCTATATTAAAGGCCAGATGAAGAAAGACCTGTAAAGGATACAAACTTTGTCCTATGGACAAAAGAAGGCATTAAAAACAACAGTTTGCATTAGGACTTTTATCAGTGATTCTAGTTCTTTTACTATGGCTACAAAGATCTACAAATCACATATTGAAAGTGCTTTACAGACAGGACAGAATGGCAAAAAGCTAAAAACTAAAAGGTGAAGTACAAAGTTTATATTCTGGGCAGGCCACTTAGGTGGTGAGGAACTTTATGTTCCTCAGTTTTCTCATCTGTAAAATGGGCTTAAAATAACAGTCTACTTAACTGACCTGATTACTGTGAAAATTTAAGGGAGATCATTAGGTAAACTGCTTAGAACTGATCTGTTATATACAAAGTCTGTAGTAAACAGTAGCTCTATTTCTACTAAAGACTATTCATATAATAACTCATGGTCCTGTGGGCTAGGGGAACAGAAACTTTTTCCAAACATTTTGAAATTCTGGAGTGAATTCTAGGACTGTAACAAATGCCAAGAGGTGTAACACTCTGCTCTGAAGCTATTTAAAACCGGTCAGTCAGAAAGACCTTCAGAAAATACTAGAGCAGAACTGAAATGTTCCTTCTTAGGAATATATAGAAATCTTCCCCAAGATCTCATAGTTTGACTCTGACATGAAATATTTATTAAGCTATTTAAAAGTTCAAAACACACAATCTTTTCAGCTCTTAAGGATATCAAAGTTTATTATAGGCTAGCTTAAAAATGTAACAACATGGTTTATAAGTTTTAATGCTTTAAAAAAAGTACATAATTAAAGAAGTCTTTCAGAGATGGTACTGTAATATTCTTATCTGTCTACCTAGTCTCAGAATATAACACAGTATTTAACGTGTTTCTAGAAAGAGTATAAAATTCCAAATTACAATCAAGAAACTGTAGTACTAAGTACTCCACTATTACAGCTTTGTGACCTCAAGGATATTAATTTCCCTAATCCTTAGATTCTAATAAAAAGGGGGCTACACTTGTGAAGTTCAACTTTTTTTCACCTTTGAAAGTAGTCAGAAACAAGTATTTTAGGAAAGTTTCCTTGAATGGTTATATGTAAAGTCCTTCCTTCTATACCAGTGGTTCTTAATCCTACCATGCATCAACTAAAAGCAAACAAAACCAGATGCTTGGGGCCCACCCACAAAGATTTAACTAACTTGGGGTGGGGCCCTTAGTGTTTCACTGAAAGATCTCTAGATGATTCTAATATGCAGCCATGGTTAAAGACCTATGCTGTAACACTAATTTGTAAGAGTGTGAAGTAATCAAAAAAGCTAATACTGAGTGCTTACTTTGTCAGAATCTTCACATTTTCTCATTTTAATCCTCATAGTAACGTGTGAGGAAGATATTAATATCCTCATTTTATAGCCTAGCAGACCTGAGATTTCAAAGTGTTCTTTTTTTCTACTGCCTTATACGGTTTAGTATAAATGGAAGTTTTGTCTATATGGAAAAGCATTGTGGAAAGGCCTGTGTGAAGAAACAGCTAACAATCCTGAGTAAGAGGAATTTGCTTTGTGAAATACTATTACCCATATAAATCACAAACAGAAAAACTTAATCCATTTTCTAGTACTTAAAAATTTTATCTGTAGTTTTAACCAGTGTATTTGAAAAACTTGGTGTTCCCTCAAAATATTTCAATTAGATGGGGACGCCTGGGTGGCTCAGTTGGTTAAGCAGCTGCCTTCGGCTCGGGTCATGATCCCAGCGTCCTGGGATCGAGTCCCACGTCGGGCTCCTTGCTCGTCAGGGAGCCTGCTTCTCCCTCTGCCTCTGCCTGCCATTCTGTCTGCCTGTGCTCGCTCTCTCTCCCTCTCTCTCTCTGACAAATAAATAAATAAAATCTTTAAAAAAAAAATATTTCAATTAGATTAAAGGAATCAATGCCACTAGCTTATAAACTCAACCCAGGACATCCTAAAATGAGCCAAGTAAAAGCTTTACAAAAAGTAAAGTTCTATCCTTACAGAAATGTATGTAAGACAGGAAGGAAAAGACCCTAGGGGATTAAGATGTTTTAAATAATCATTAGAGGAAAATCCATTTCTTAAAAGCCAATGATACGCTAAGAGAGGCTTCTGCTTCATTAGGAATCACATATGACTAAGACAGGGCCTCCCTTGATCATCCTATCTATATGTAATCTTATTCATTTCTTCAACAAATATACCTCCTTGTGACAACACTGATTTTACATTTCAATAATTTCTGTGGATCTTACTGTCTCTGCAGTATTGGCTAAGCATTTATCATGTATTACCTACCCTTTACTACATAATTTTCATGAGAATGTCACTTTTCTCAACTGTATCATAAGCTTTTTAGAAATTAAGAATCAGGGGCACCTGGGTGGCTCAGTGGGTTAAAGCCTCTGCCTTCGGCTCAGGTCATGATCCCAGGGTCCTGGGATCAAGCCCCGTATCGGGCTCTCTGCTCAGTGGGGAGCCTGCTTCCCTTCCACTCTCTCTCTGTCTCTCTCTGCCTACTTGTGATCTCTGACTGTCAAATAAATAAAATCCTAAAAAAAAAAAAACAAAAAAACCTAAAAAAAAAAAGAAATTAAGAATCATATTTTACATAACTTTAAATTCTTCAAAGGAATTACAATGGTCTATAAGACTGTAGGTAATTGACACATGTGAATTAAGGTACAGGATAAAAGTATAAGATGAAGACCTATTATGAGCCAAGAACTACG